TTTGTCATTGGGTTGTACCCTGGGAATTATTTTAAGGTACAATTTTTAAGGTACAATTTTGTGCTTTTATTGCAGTATGCACAATGGGGTACAAAATTGTCCCTTAAATGGTACAAAGTTATAAGGTACAATTTTGTACCTCATATTAAAGGTACAAAAGGGTACCCTCCAGGGTACCACCCCAGTGACAGCCACTTGTACCCTAAAAGGTACAGTTTTGTACTTTTTTTTCTGACAGTGTATTATAAAGTGAAGATCATTGGAACTAACTAGTAATGACTCAAGTGTTACTAAAGACATTTTCTAAAAGTATACTAAAGTTCACCAAAAATCTCCAACGTTTGCAAGTTATGACTAGATCATGTAGTAACACTTGAGTCATTACTAGTTAGTTCCAATGATCTTCACTTTATAATACGAATCCAAATAATTAGTAATTCCCACAGAAGTATCTAGTAACACTTTCATCTGTGAGCTATTACTTACTAATTTGTTAATAAGAGTTTATTTTAGTTAATAGTAGTTACTAGATTATTAATAAACTTTTTCAGTAGTTCTCTGGGAAGTATTAAAAAAATATAGTAGTTATTGATTAGTTAATAGTGAACTACCACTTTTGTCTGTGCGCTATTACTTACTAGTTCGTTAATCAGAGTTTCTTGTTAGTTAATAATAGTTACTAGATTGTTAATATTGTGTTACTCATTGGTTCTTGTATAGTTATTCATTAACGGAGGAACTGTATTCTAAAGTGTTACCCAGATTTGTATACTCCCCTCTCCAGGTAGGCCTGCAACAAGTGATATGTGATTTGATTTTTAGCAGTGAATAAAATAAGTGTAAAAATCCTTTATACTTATGGAGAGACCGAGTCAATGCAGGCACAAGAATATCATATAGATTTTGAAGTGGGCTTTTTTGTTTTGGAACAGTAAGCATCTACAGTGTACAAACATGGAAAATAACAGTCAATTTTACTTGAGTTTATGCATTCTTATTTCAAAATATAGACCTTGCTTGAACACAATATCAACATTCCCTATTACTAGTAATTGGAGCCAAATGCATCCCAATTCGCTTAGTTATACTACGCCCATAAAGCATGTACTCTTTTTGTGAAGAAAAAAGTACATACTTTTGAGTGAGTAGCAAAAAAGTAGGCAAGATTTGGGACATACTATCACGTCTTCTTTAACGGACGGTCGCGTGATGGTTGCATCCTGTCACCATAAACTGCCCTGTCAATCATCTCACAGTTAAAATCCTCCATTCAATCTAATTTGATGTCCTACCGTATCGGAGCACGTTAATCTGCCAGTCATGGGTCTTTCATGTGTATACTTTCCTTGTGTTTTGCAATTTGAATATAATGATGCATTTAAAAAGTAATGGCTAAACGTATACTTACAAAAGTTCACAATGCTGCAGATGCAATATAATGTGGAGAACATTGAATAAATTAATTTTCATCAGGTCAGATTGTGTTAATTAATCACTCAATTATATACTCAATTATATATAATAGTGTCAATTAATCTCTCAACATAACCGCGGGACTCGCGCGTCCTCCGTGTCTGTAGTTTTTTAACACTTTTTACTCGTGTTTGTATGTAGTTCTAACCGAATCCACGTTCAACGCGCAAAGGGTTGTGGGCAATATCAGCCGTTAGAGTGTGCATCAATCTACACTTCGGATTCTGACCAGAAAAAGTAGACCATCCGCGTATCTTTGAAACACTAATTTCAACGGTTTGGGACGCACTAATTCTATTTTCGAATACTATTTAGGACGGATAGTATGCGAATTGGGACGCAGCAACAGTCTCATCCCAAGAAGTCATATAACTGACGTCTTGGGACGTCTTTTGACCATACGTCAACATCCGCCTTTTTAGGGTACCCTTAAACGTCGGTTACATGATGATCCCGGGCCGTCATACAACTGACGCTTTACATTTAACGTCGGTTAGGTGACGGGGTAGGTTTAGGTCTGGGGTAGGGTTAGGATCCGATAACGTCATCTAACCAACGTATAAGGGTACCCTAAAAGGCGGATGGTGACGTATGGTCAAAACACGTCCCAAGGGATGAGACTGAGCTGAGCCAAACAAAGAAAATGCAAACGTGTAAATATACGATGCAATGCTATTTAAAGGTTGGTGTGCTCACACTGCATACATACGTGGGTGAATACACAAATGGGTTTGAATATTATGTCTGCCATCTGTGATGGTGTAGGTGAGACATAGACAGGAATAGAGTAACAGTGAGACAAGCACCTGGGCGTAATTCATAGTTTACTTCCCACTTGAACACACTCTAAATACATTAGCACAGACACACGGTTGTCTTAGACCCACCAGAGATCTATAAATATGTATGAACAGGTGAAAAAGGAAACCTTCTGATGGCCCTCTGTAAATCATCACTCAGGCTCTTTACTCTTAATTGTTCTGAATATATAAGTAATACATTGAGGGTGGCCATGAGATGAGATCTCATTTTAATGTTTTGTGTCTAATTTTCATTCAAAGCACAATGAATTAGGATAGCCAGTCAAACACACATATTTTAACAAACACTCATGTCAATGGCAATGCATTTATACAGACACACTCTGAGAGCGCATGCTTACACCAACATCCAGGCTTTGAATACTGCTAACTCTAAGCAGACTACAGACTTTGCCAAGGTAAACTGATCCAATTTTGATCATCTGCATTTCCTCAGTTCAATGTAATATAACGAGCAGTGGCGTATCCAGGACATTTTTTGGGGGGTGGCCAAGATGGGACACAAAGCTAGAGCGGGGTGGCCATGGCATAGCGAAGTTAAATGCGCATATGCACGCAGCCGACCATGGTTCAAATCCCGGTCCTTTGCTGCTGCATGTCACATCCTCTCTCTCTCCCATGATCTCCTGTCTCATAACTGTCAAATAAAGGTGTCTATCCTGTTAAAAACAGTCCTAACCACCAATCACAGACAGTCCTCAAGTATCTCTGTTTATTTTAACATGTCTATTTTTAATCAGTAATTATGGTCAGGATAGGGTAAATATTTTCTATTAAGAGCTATTTTCTTGTAGTGGATTTTTAAGTCCTTGTCACTTCACAAGTTAGATTAGATTAGCAAAATTAAACTGCTCTTAACTCATCCTATAGAATAACATGTATCAGTCGTCAGCTCATCATTTGTGTCACCTGTATTGTTACCTGAGTTTGCTTTACTAATTGAGGCACCATCTTGTGATCACATGAAAACAGAAATCCAACAGGACAAACCAACATGCTTAAAGATAGGACCTTATTAAAAAGTGTATCTGTAAAAGCAAAAGCTAAGTTTGTGAGGAAAAAACAAAAAATGTGTTGTTCTTTTACATGCTTAGTTTATGTTATTATTTAGCTTATAATTTATATAAGTATAAAAATATATTTATTTAAATATAATTTATTAGAGATAGGCCCACTGGAATTTGAATTTCTTAGTTTGTTCTTTGCCAGGAGTGGTTTTATTTAACCACAAGAGGGGACTTAAATAAGTAAAGCAAACACAGGTAACACAGAGAATGGCCTGATGACTCAATAGTTTCATTAGGATGCCTTATGAAAATGTGCAAAAAGTGTTTTTCAACCCAGACAGTATTCATGTCCCAGGCCTTTGATGAAAGTATGAATTGTAATGTTGGCTTTGATTCAGCATACATTAATACGTTTTTAAAATCAAACAGTTTGACTCAAAATCATAAATAGTCAAGATGCTTCTTCATAATTTAACTTATGACATTTGTGCCATTTTAATGCAATTTACTCTGCCTATTTAAACTTCTAAAAATATATCTGGACTGTGAAAATGAGCTAATTGATACAAACAAAAAGTCCTTTTTAAACACCCCTTAAACCACAGAGCAAATAAATAAGTCACAGCTTGTTTTTGTGTTTTAAATTAAATCTAGACTGTCACACTATATTGCACACACTGGTTGGCGAAAAATATAACATTAGCTATATTGAACATACACTTCTGCAAAAACCACCATCAGTCTTCAGTCCAGAAAATAGCGTTTTATATTTCATGGCGGTGTATTCGTGGAAATAAGGTGTGGCCCCTTTAAGAGCTGCGCGCGTCCTCTTTAATTAACCGTCTGCACTCGTTCAGGATGCTAATCTAACTAGTACAGTGTAGTTCGACTTTTTCAGATTTCCTACACATTCTCAGGGAACTACGATATAACTAAACATTACATTACCATACCTCTCTACAGATTCCCGCGTTTTTATCGTTGTATTTGTTGCTGTTGTAACTGTGACCATTCATTCACCTGTTTCACGGAGCAGCAGCATGGCCAAACGTCCGCTGAGCAGAAATCAGCTCTCACAGCCTCAGCACGACCATGTGTTATTTTAACAAGTAAAACTGGACCTAAATCGGTTGATCAGCTGTCACCATTGATTGACAGCATTTCTCTTGTTTCTTGTGTTGACGAACTTGACTGGTCTATCAGATCTGGGGTGGCCACAGGGGTGGCCAATGAACGAGTAGCAAATGTAGGCTACACGGCGCAAGAGTACATGTAAAGAGAAACATTAAAACGATTTAAAAATTACAGTGCTATGTATTAAATACAAAAGAGAAAACAATTGTTTTCATTTATAAAAATAGGACCTAGTGTGATCTGTTTTAGGTGAAGACATCAGTAGCTTTTGAAGAGAAACCGATTACTTTACAACCACAAGATGGCAGCAGTGCCTTACTACAGAAGATTCAAAACAATAAAGATAGATTAATAGTAGGTTATACATCTGCATTCATAGCCAGTGGAAAACGAAAGAGTTTTTAAATACATCACGGCTCATAAATCTTTTTTGGTGAAGACAGTTTCATTCTTAGAGATAATTTATTTTTACTCCTCCACTGTCTGTATTTTTTAAAACTACTTTATGATGGCTAACTCATGAGCAAGTTGTTTAACTTTGTCTTTTCTGCCTGTATTTCTCTAGGATGCTCCTACATTTGGGAGGGTCCAGGGGGAAGATGGGCATCCTGCTCATCAGGAGAGTGGGTTTGTTTTGTCGTTCTGCTCACTTGTCTCCACAAAGCCTGGAGTATCGACCAATCAAAAAGGTCATGGTGGCAAACAGAGGTAATCCTGAGATTAAATATTTAGCAAACAGAAAAAAAGTGAAAGTGAGAGTCTGATCCCTGGATTAGTGCTTTGAAAGTCTAAATACACACAGGCCCAGAAGTGCTGCATTTTAAATTAAGTTTCAACATAATATAATAATGATTTACCTGTTATTATTTACTTACCCACTTGTCATTATTTACTCATGCTTATGTTATGTATTCACCTGCTTGTTGTGCATACTCGAAATATTTAAAGTGTATATAGTGCTGGGTAACTGATCACATGTAATCAATTTACAAACATTAAAGGGTTAGTTCACCAAAAAAAAAAAAAAAAAAAAAAAAAGGAAATGACTGTCATTTAGGCTACTCATCCTCATGTTGTTGACCAACATTAGGCCTATTACCACTTTAGGCCCAGAAAGGTAGTATAGACATCGATAAAATAGTCGCAACTACAGATGTTCAAACTTAATGTTATTTGAAAGAGTTTCACCGCACTCACGGTAAACAAGGTGACAGATACAACTTGACAACCCAAAAAATAAATAAATTGTCTGCACACTTGAGTCCTTAAAGCAAATTTAATGCCAAGCTTTCGGTCGCAAAACCATCCTCAGGGCATACACAAACTTTGTATACCGACTCGGTAGTCTTTTGTTGTTGTTTTTTTGCACACATTTATCATTGTCTTTACTACATTTCTGGCCCTTGTAAGTGTTCATAACGTTGCATTTCATAAAAAATAAAATCTTAATTTGTGTTTTGAGGATGAATTAAGGTCTTACTGGTTGGGACAACATGAGGGTGAGTAATTAATGACAGAAATTTCATTTTTGGGTGAACTAAACCTAAGTATTAATGAGATTACATTTTAAAATACTATCAGACTACAGTTAGTTTTTTTAATTTATTCCATGATTATATGTTTTATTCTGTAATGACAGTACATTATTCATAATTCATTGATTCTCCATAGCCTACTATTTCTTTTTTTTATATTTTACATTTTCCTTTTTTTTTTTCAAAAATCCTATGTTCAGAAGGTCTTCCAGTTTTGTGGATCATACCACTGAAAACTGAGAGCCACAAAGCATTTAATCACTGGATTTACAGAAATCATTTAACTTTTTAAGTGTTTTCTCAAGATTGCATATCTACTCAATCCCTGACGAACACAATATATTGTTTAAACACATTAAAATGTACAAATTCAAAAATTATGCAATGCAGGGATTCCCCATCTTTTTTGTCAGCTGAACCATATTTGACCTAATATTGGAGATTTATTTATTTTTTGTTGTTGTTGATAAACAATAACTGACTGCGGTATATTAGGCTCCTGTCACTTTAAGACATGACCACAGTCTACTATGGACCTGACTGAGTCACGTGATCTAACACACATCCGATTTTCTCGCTGTACATACAGTCATCATTTAGCTCAACGCGTATGAAGATACTCACAGGCATTCTGACAATTTTGTAAGTGCAATAAAATATGCCAAGATGTTTGTCTTTCTGTGTGTGCGTTTTTCATGTGTGTTTGTGCGCGCGCGCGCGCGTATGCCAGTCACGCTTGCACAAATTTGCGTTGAATGTTGTAACGTTATTAATTGCAGAAATTAACGCGTTATTTTTGACAGCCACAATAGAAATAAAGTCAAAAACTAAAATGTTCCCATATATTGAATTTTGGAGTCATTCTACTAACCTTACCTGCAGTGAAAGTGTTTCTCAATGCGTGTTTACGTCAGCTTGCACATCGTTAAAACAACAATTAAGTTACTATATTAATCCTCTGTTTCATGAACTACTATTTTTATTGTGCTTTTTGTTGTTGTTTTGTCCTTTGAGAAAATAATTGGCTCATTTTCAGGTGAACTAACGCTATATCCACTAACTGTTGGATAACATTAACTGTTTACATTTCACAAATTTGTTTAAATTTAAAAACAAAACAAAATCCTTTGTTTTACTAATGTTTCTCTTCTTCCTTCAGGTGAAATAGCCACCCGTGTGTTTCGAGCATGCACAGAACTCGGTATCCGGACAGTGGCAGTATATTCAGAGCAGGACACGGGGCAGATGCATAGACAGAAGGCAGATGAGGCTTACCTCATCGGCAGAGGCCTGTCCCCCGTTGCGGCATATCTTCATATCCCTGACATAATCAAAGTGGCAAAGGTTAGACAGTTATATCTATCTGTCAGACTCACCTCCTCTGTCACTCTCTGAATTACAGCCTCTCTGCATTGTGCAATAAGCGCATCTCTTCTAGTGCTTAGTATGCACATCAGCACTTCTCTATATGGTGCTCAAATAGATCCATTCCTGTTTTTTGGAACGGTGTCAGAGATGCCAGCCAGATTCAGATCCTTTGGCGAACTCTCTCATTATGCCACAGGCAGCTCATCTCTCAACCCAGCAGCTTAGCCACCACAACAATACACTAATAATGCATACACACAAAGCAGTACACACGGACAACACCACACCATATTAAAACTGAACAAGCAGCCAACATCATCGTCTCTAACCTCAGCAGACGGCCTCAGAATAATTAGTCTTTCTCCAATGCAATTACCATGTTGCACACAGTCAGCCAACAGAGAGAGGGGCCTTTTCAAATTCTCTCTGATTGGGATTTTAATGAAATTAGTATTTTCCAGCATCAGGCTAATGTTTTTTCATTCTGCTCTAATTTCGCTCTCTGTCTTTCTATTTCTCATCCACTGTGTATTTCTCTGCCTTTGCTTCTCTCGCTCTCAGGAAAATAATGTGGATGCAATCCACCCTGGATATGGCTTTTTATCAGAGCGTGCAGACTTTGCCCAAGCCTGTGCTGAAGCCGGGGTGAGATTCATTGGACCTTCCCCTGAGGTTGTGCGCAAGATGGGGGATAAAGTGGAAGCCCGTGCCCTGGCCATACAAGCAGGTACCTGATAAACTCTACCCCTGAGATCTCTTTCTACGTAGGGGAGGGGGGTAAACAGCATATGTACTGTATACTAAGATATCGCATCCATTGCTCTAGACACATTAATGCGTTCACCATATTGGATCAATCAACATGCTTCACTCATACTAACAAAACAATGCATTTTCATCGAAAATGCCACAGCATTGTGCAGCCTATGGTTCTAATAACTGCCAGGCTATAAATTCCAGTTGAACTATGATCACCTTTCACAGGTGACAATGTCTACACTGTAAAAAATAAACCGTAAATTTTACGGTAAAAAAACGGCAGCTGTTGTGTAACTTTACCGTTAAAAATACGGTAGGAACGTGAATGGTTTTACAGAATTAACTTAAAATTTACAGTAATAAACCGTATTTTATTTTCTGATAAAATGTTGATTTACCAACTTATTGATATCTGTTTTAAACCATTGTAATACACTGACAACAATTAATCATCACAGCAGTGATGAGAGTTACTTGCGTAATCACAGCTCATCATAAGTGATTACTTATTTAACCCTTGTGCTGCATTAGATTTTTAACACCGTTGAGTGCATTAAGGACCAAAAATGGCCACATATTAAACATTGCCTAAAATATTATATATTATTATTATTTTCCACTTTTACCAAGTTAAATCTTTTAACCAGCATCAGTCCTCATCATAACTACCAAAAATGTATTCAATTTCAGGATTTTTAACCCTTTAATTACCAGTTTTGTTTGCGAAACCATCGATTTGTATAAGAGGAAAAAACACAAAAATTCAATTATTTTCAATAAACTAAATGCAAAGAGAAAACTTTAGATTTGGATTATCACAGTCCCACTTTGCAAAAAATCCCACTTAGCGCGTTAGAGACCAAAAATGGCCACCTATTAAACATTGCCTAAAATAAGGTGCATTTCCACCCATAGGGAATAAATATGTAGTGACGTCATCTGGTGGAATACACTATATAATGCAAATATAATGCTTTTGCTTCAAAATGAAAGGATGTTTGTGCAAAAATCATGTTTCATGTATTACTGACAGCCTCAGATTTAAACAACGTTTTAATGGGTTTCAATGGGCCATTTTTGGTCTTTATGGTGCTGAGTGTTACTATTTGATCTACACAGTGTGTGTTATACATATTTTGCAAAATGGGATCACATTTTTTACATGTATCCAAAAAGTCACAATTTTGCCAAATTTCATACCATTTGCATTAAAACAGCCAAAATGGTCAAAGAAATTAAACTGCAAAAGACCAAAAATGTCCCTAATGCAGCATAAGGGTTAAAGGAACACTCCGACTTTTTGGGACTTTAGCCTATTCACCTTACCCCCCAGAGTTAGATAAGTCCATATACATACCTTTTTCATCTCCGTGCGTGCTATAAGTCAGTTTGATGCACCCACCGCTAGCCTAGCTTAGCACAAAGACTGGATGTGAATGGTTGCAGCTTTCATACTAATCCAAATGAGTGACAAAATAATGCAAACGTTTTCCTATTTACATGTTGTGGTTTGTATAGTCACAGAGTGTGCAAATATCAAGGCCATATGAGACACAGACATCTTTTGACCGTATAAATACTATATTTTCTGAAGGCGAAGCACTGCTACTTGGGCAGAGTGATAACCATCACCTGAGACGCACCGTGACGAGGAGCAGAGAGTTCGCTCAGTGTTGGAGTAAAGAGTCAGCAATTACTAACGTTAGATAGAAAAGCATAGTTTTTCATGGGTGTTTGCTTTATTGTATGAGCTGTGACAATAAACAGGGGAGACCAGGTAATACAGTACCATGTTTCATTGATTTCCAACCAAAAACGCACCCAGATTTATAAATATCACATGAATAAATAATTATTATTACAGGAATCAATATATTTTAAATGCAATTTATTAGCTGAACCAAATGTATTCAACAGTAGCCTATATAATATACAGTACAATTGCATTACTATAGGATAGAATACGGGGAAAGTAATAGCACAAATTGTTTTTGCACAATGAACTCACAGCCTATCGTACCCTTTTGCACGCTCAAGTTCGTTATTTCCATGGTTATTTCAAATTTAGGCTACTAGGCGCGCCACGCGCAGGGTGCAAGTTCAGCGCGGTGAACGCGCTCGTTTTTTTTCCAAGCGCGTCCGCAACGCATCAAGATAAAAACATATTCATACCCTAATCATATAATAGTGTCACTAACGTTACATTAGATCTGGCTAATGGCACTGTTACAGTAGGTCATCTAAAAACATAACGGAACACTTACCTCAGCCGCAGGTGATCCACTTGTCCTGTCTGTGCTATCGATGGGATAGCCGTATCCTTCAGCACATTATGGTCCGTGTGGCAAATTCCATTTTTTCAAAATAGTCGTCCATTGAAATGTACCGAGCAAACATAATGTCCCTTGATAATCTATTTAGGTGTGTTTGGATAAATATCCAGAGTAAGTTAGCCATTTCTTCATCCAGTCAGCGTTTTTAGTTGGAATTCTGTGAAACATGGTATTACCTCCCCTGTTTACTGTCGCAGCTATTTACAATAGAGCGAAAACCCATGACTCTAAACTATGCTTTTACTATTTATAAATTGCTGACTCTGTTACCCAAACACTGAGCGAACTCTCCGCTCCTCACCACGGCGTGTCTCAGGTGTTGCGGTTATTACTCCGTCAACGTAGCAGTGCTTCGCCTTCAGAGAATAGTTCCCAGGTTTTATACGGTCAAAAGATGTCTGTGTCTCATTTGACTTTGTTATTTGTACATTATGTGACTATACAAATCACAACATGTAAATAGGAAAACGTTTGCGTTATTTTGCCACTCATTTGGATTAGTATGAAAGCTGCAACCATTCACATCCAGTCTTTGTGCTAAGCTAGGCTAGCGGTGGGTGCGTCAAACAGACTTATAGCACGCACGGAGATGAAAAGGGTATGTATGGACTTATCTAACTCTGGGGGGTAAGGTGAATAGGCTAAAGTCCCAAAAAGTCAGAGTGTTCCTTTAAGTAATACTTTTATAAAGAAGCTGCACAGTGTCATTCACACAAACATTAAACACCATCATGGTAACACACATGAAATTAAAAAATGCAATAAACATTAATTTAACAACATTAAATGTAACATAAAACCCTAATGTACATAACTGATTAGAAAAAAACAAAACAATAAAACTATGAGGAACTATAGGGCATTTCAGAATGTTTGTAAACAATAGGCACCGCGATACTTCCGGGTGGCAGAACGCGAGCGGCTTCCATTGACTAACTGAAGAGATCCAGCCGGCAACTGAACAGTTACACAGTTAAAATCATTGTTGTTGATCAAAGTTGAATCTATGGTGAAAATATGTTCTGTTTGGGGTTGTGCCACCAGATATACAGCAAAAGGTGTAGGTTTTTTTTATCGATTTCCTTCAGAAAAAAGTAAATCTATCCAGCAGAACCTGTGGGTGAGGAGGTTAAAGCGAGTGGATGTCGTCAAAAGTGCATGTCGTCTTCTAATTATGAGCCTGAGCCCGATTTAAACCCAACCATTTTAATACGTGGGTCGTTATATAACTGACGTTCTCAACTAACTTAGTTATTTCTATTACTTTCTATGTTACTTTCTTTTGAGCAGTGAGTAAATGCTTCTTCATCGTAAATGCTTCTGATTGGCCAATGCGTTCAATAAATCAACACATATGTCTGTGATTGGCTACATCGCTCATCGCTGCAGTCACGAATTAAAAAGAAACTCTGCCATGTAAGTAATTTCTATTTTGTTTTAGTTGTTCTTGTTGCTTTTCTGCAACAGATGAATACAAATGTATTAGTTTTTATTTGTTTCATTCATAGATATTTCTAGTTAGCGGGAGTCCCGCGAATCGTTTTATTCTCCTGCAATCCGCACACACAGAGTGAATGCACTAGCTAGCTGCTACTGCCCGCACTCGGCCATCAGATCTAGTCCCGCGCCGCGGTCTAGTGCGTTGGGAGTGCACGTCTCTAGATCAAAGAATCTAAGCTTTAATGATCATGTTAACTATGTCCGAATTTCCACCACGTCTGTTCTTGAATCAACTGTTGAAATGTAGATTAGGCTTCTGCCGGCGGTGTGTCTCCCTCCATGCAATTTACTAGTGTTGCCATAGGGACGCTTCGGCTTTTGCCACCCGGAAGAACGTCTATTATTGTTGTGACGTCATGGTGAATTGTCGTATAGTTATTTCAACAAAAATACATCAAATGTGAAGTGTCACACAGGGAATTGTGGGAATGTCAATTTACGGTTTTTCACTGTAAAATATACAACGATTTGTTCTTTTTCACTTTCAAAAACTGTAAATTTAACGGTATTTTACTGTGAAATTATATCACAGTTATTTACCATATAAAGTACGGAAACTTTCTGTTAACCAATTAACATTTTTACAGTCTTTTACTGTTAAAATCATGGATATTTTTTACTGTGTAAGCTTGTATTCTGTAGCTATAACTCAATACGCAATATCCATATGCGGAAATATCTAACACCAATGATAAACTAACTCCAGGGAAAATCATCTGCTAAAATCAACTTGAACAGTCAACTTGCTCTCAAAAGCTAGTTTCAGACTGTTATATCCCATTGCATCAGAGTTTGCAAGAAATGTTCTTGTGCTCAAAGTCTAGTGGGACCCTGGCATAAGACATCACCTATTCTGGTGTAACAATGTAACTGGCAGGAAAAGTCACTGCAAAATCCCCGCTACTAATCCATTCGCGGAGCCATGACAGCAGTTTCCGACCAGCAGTCTCAGAGGGGATGTTAAGGTACAGCTAATAGACTCAAGGACTATTGGTTAGGTTAGTGATGGAGGCCGCTTCGTTCTGCCCTAACTTCCGTACTGAGAATGGTGATTTGGCGCTGCTGGTCGGAAATTGAACAGGCAGATTCAAAGAGTAAAAAGTTTCAGTGCTGTAGAACTAAATTCACAGCTCAGCAAATGAAATTGAATCAAACTGGGTCCATATAATAAACAATTTATGATGGTAAGAGAGAGAGTTTTTTTTTTGTTTTTGTTTTTTATGACGCTGTGGCTGCTTTAACACCGCAAGGCATAAATCCGATCTTTTGACACAGATGCGTTTTTGCCACATCTGTTTATGTGCACTTCAGACATAACCAGCTGTGTTTACATGAATACCTGTTAAGGCTGTCAGTCAGCATGATATAACCTTGTTTCTAGCAATAAGAACAACCCAATGAACATGACATTTTTACATGTCCTTGTTCTTGAAGAATTATTAAAATGTATAGATTGAGAATGCAATTATTTACTCAATGGAGAACAGACTCCCTCAAGAATTCACACATGAATTCTATTAATTCATTTCATTACCTTAATAAAGTGAATACTCCTGTGTGTAGTCATTATAAATTAAATATAACATGTCTCTTTGGGAATTACAGGGGTTGATCTCTCTAACCAAATATAATGCTGCATTTTTCTAATTCTTCACAGTTATTTAAATAAAAAATGAATTGTTCTTCATGTCCTTCACTTATGATGAAATGTGACCACAAAATGAGGCCTTAGGTGTACAACAAAGCTTATATACTTATACTAGTCAGTGTTTGTATGTTGATGTACATTGACGTACAGTATCCTTATTTTTGCTAAATTTGCGATTGACAAAACAACTTAAAAGTGGTTAGCAGGTCTTTCCTGGTTTAAACTGATGTAGCTAGCAGTGTTGTAGTACTATTCGAGACTGGTCCTGGTCCTAATATGACCTAATGTGATGCAATGCCCATGTAAATGTGTTTGTGTGCGTCTGTGCGTGTGTGTGTGTGTGTGAAGGTGTTCCAGTTGTTCCCGGTACAGACGCTCCTATCTCATCTCTTCAAGAGGCTCATGAGTTTGCCAAAATACATGACTTTCCCATCATCTTTAAAGCTGCATATGGAGGAGGAGGCCGTGGAATGAGGGTGGTCAGAGATTATGAGGTCAGTGAAGCTTCTGGCCCATGAATGCGTAAAAAATAAATGACTAGGGAATCAGTAAACCGTCATACTATAGGTCACTGTGATGATAGCAGGCCAGCCATCTGAATATACTACAACACTACAGCGTTCACACTTATTACTTATAGCTGCCTCTACAAATTAAACTGCAAGAGGGGAAAGTCATTTAAAATTGAACAAATTGCACACATCACTTTTTCACTTTAGGGCGCAAAAACATTCTCGCTAAATCCACAAAATCACTTTTTTTTTTTTTCCCATTTGAAAAACACAACTTGACATCATGGCCAGTAGTGCCCTGGTCCTCTTTGTCATTATAACTGTGATGTTTTTCAAGGCTAGCCCATTAAGCCATGTTGATCACACCTGTTAATGGACCTAATTTGCTGCTCACGTATACAGCATATAATGTTTATTTTATGTCAGTGGCTACTGCCTATTTTACGACTGCTTTCAATTGTGTTACTCTATTACTGATGCTTAATGTGCTTCATTTGACATGTGGACATGCACATGTGACAATTACTCCAGGGAATAACTATATAACAAGGACATTGATAGCTCTGCATAATTTATTTGCTGTATTTATTGCATATATTTTATTGCGAAAAGTGTTTATTGCCTCCTTCTACAAGTTTTTTTTTTTTTACACTGTGATTTCTGAACATCAAAAACAATGATCTCTAGGGTAACACTTTACTTGAAGGGGTGTGCATAGGACTGACATGACACCTTCATAATCATGTCATGACACGTGTCGTGAATATGAAGGAGGGTTTATGACAACTGTCATTTATTCTCATTCGCTCAATTATGACATTTTTAATGCAAATATGACATTGTTTAAGATGTCTTGGTAATGACAACCTGACATAAACCAATACATCATAACCTGTCAGTTTCTTTGTCATGACAATTTCACATTACTAATACAACACAACCTGTCATAAATATGTCAAAAACATGATATAGCAGATTAATTATCAAACTTAAGGAACCACCACTTAGCTTTGTTAGTTAACATTCCATTAAACTGTCTGGTGGTTGGTTTTGACATTGGCTGTCATTATAACATTTCAACGTCAAATTCAATTTGTACCACTGTAGTTGAGGTCAAGCAAAATATTCATGACACAGTTATAATGGCCTATAATGACAACCAATATCAACAACATGACATTTTATGGAATGTTAACCCATAAAGCTTAAGTTTCTTAAGTTTGATAATTAGTCTGCTATGTTATGATTATGACATATTTATGACAATTTATGTTGTTTTGGTAATGTCACATTGTCATTATCAAGACACTTGATAGGTTATGATGCATTGGTTAATGTCAAGTTGTCATAACAGACATCTCAAACAATGTCATTTTTGCATTAAAAATGTCATAATTGAGTGTATGACACTTAATGACAGTTGTCATAAACATGCATTAAACCTCCTTCATATTCACGACATGTGTCATGTCATGATTAGGAAAGTGCCATGTCAGTCTTATGCACACCCCTTCAAGTAAAGTGTTACTACATCAACTACTTCACAGAAAAGAAATGAAAATAAAACAAGCTCAATCTTTCACAATCGAGTGCTCAACTAATGGCAATAGGGGATGTGTGGGCTCTGTTCCTTTAAAAATTACTCTATAATTCAGCATCTCCTTTTTATCAGACATGATACAATTTGTAACATTTCAATTTAAAGCTATGGCTGGCTTTAATTATATTATGTTATATCATGTTAAATATCAAATGTTTTGGGGTCAATTAAAAAAAAAAAAATCCAGCAAAGATGCATTAAATTGAGAAGTGATTGTAAAGATGTATAAAACACTTTTAAACTTTTTCAACTGTTTTCATTTTTGATAATGATGTGAAATGCTTCTGGAGCACAAAATTATAATATCATTTATAATATTATAATATAATAATTTCTGAAGGATCAATTGACACTTTATTCTTTTTAATCATATACATGATGATGATTATTTTGTTATTTGTTTTTTTAATTATTGTACTATTAAACTGTGACTGATTGGCAGGAGCTAGAGGAGAACTATCAGAGAGCCTATTCAGAAGCTCTAGCGGCATTCGGTAATGGTGCTCTGTTTGTTGAGAAGTTCATCGAGAAACCACGACACATTGAAGTACAAATTCTTGGTGAGTGTATATATATATCCAGGTGTGTATTTTGTGTTTGTGCATGTTCGGGTTGACAAAAAAGGGATGGATACTATAAGAATTTGTTTGCAAGTCCCTAGGCCATGTGCACATATTTGCTTACTATGAGCTATTAGCTTCTCTCTGGTGTATTTCAGCCATTATAGCTGAGTATTTTGGCTCATTAGACGTGATTTGCTCGTCTGGAACAGAGCTCATAGTCGATAACATACAGCTGGAATTGAATTGGGCTTGTTAACAGAGAATGGGCCTGTGTGTGTCCAGGGAACACCAACCACATGCTTCTCTTTCTCTCCTTTTCTCTCACTCTCAGATAAACTGGTTTTATGTCTTCTTGTTCTCCAAAATGAATGTAATACCAAAAGATAAATAGACAAACATCTGAGATACACTAGACAAAGGAAATAACTTAAAATGAAAGGATAGTATCAACAAAACAAAGTATCAACTAAAAGTTGTTGAATGCTGTTCATGTTTGTGTTGGATTCACATAAAAAAAAGTGAATTAAAAGTTCAATTGAGGACACTGGAAAGACAGTGTGAATTTATTAAAAAGTAAATCTATACTCATGAGAAAACATATTGGTTAGAGGAGGAGTTTAGTTTTTTTTTCATGTGACAACATCTGCTCAAACCAGTGTCTTGAACACTGGTGGGACCAATTGAGTATTGGTCTTTTTTCTTCAAGGAATTAAATAATTCAATAATTAAAAGGGATTTAAAGAAGAACTCCGGCGAACAATGAACCTTTGGTCTAAAAAACATCGGTACCTAGTCAATCATTCTCTGAGTTTTGTTTTCATGATAATCGAATCTAAAGAGTTTTATCTCTAAAAACTGTTTAGCGTATAATGCTAGTAATGGGGGCATTGACTAAGTAAAAAGAAATTACTAGTTTATACCACTAACAAGGCAGTAACATAATGAGGGTCCATACATGCAAAACGAAGCATTAAGAACTTTGTAAGTGTACAGACCGTTTAATAAGAAGATACTTTATAAATACAGTTCAATTCGCGTATACAGACAGGAGCCATCTTAAAAAATAGTCTTGATAAGTCGATCCCCGAACGCCATTCATACAGTTCAGAAGTTCGCTAAACTTCATACAGTTCAGATCACTCAGAAAGACGTTCGTGGTTTGACTTATCAAGACTATTTTTTAAGATGGCTCCTGTCTGTATACGCGAAGTGAACTGTCTTCATAAAGTATCTTCTTATTAAACGGTCTGTACACTTACAAAGTTCTCAATGCTTCGTTTTGTATGTATGGACCCTCATTATGTTACTGCGTTAGTGTGGGGCTATTTTGAGCCTTGTTAGTGGTATTAATTAGCGATTTCTTTTTACTTAGTCAATGCCCCCATTACTAGCATTATACGCTAAACAGTTTTTAGAGATAAAACTCTTTACATTCGATTATCATAAAAACAAATCTCAGAGAACGGTTGACTATGTACCGATGTTTTATTAGACCAAAGGTTCATTGTTCGCCGGAGTTCTCCTTTAAGGGAATAAAGAAAAAGTAAGATGATAAAATAAGTTCTATGTCTAATTATGAAGTAATCAGTTTTAATTATTTGCAAAGAATATTTTGTATTATTTACACATTCACACTTATTCGTATGTCTGTAAAACATTTCTTACTTTGTCATATTCAGTTAATAAATAGTAAATGATAGCATATTTTCAAGTGAAAACAGCAACATTTTAAAAAAAAGTTGAGTTGAAATGCTTCACATTTCTATCTTAAAAGAGTTGTAAAATGTTAAAAGTTTAGCTACTTACATCACTTACATCTACTTGCTCTTTTCCACCGTGGAATTCACATATGAGCAATAAGGCCGCTGAGGCACACCAGCCTAGAAATTTTACTTTCAAAAAATGTTGTCATCCAAACAACAAACAGAGCGGTGCATAATAGAGTGCAAAAGAGCAGCATAACGAATCAAATATTTGGGGTACAATTTGGTATTTCTAATTATTCGATTCAATTATATTATTTTTCTTCTCAGTGTTTCTTCTCAAAGTTGTTGATTAAAATTTCATGTTTATGTTTGTGTTTATATATTACAAAAACACTATTGATATTCAGACATATAATATGATAAGGACATGGAAATATTCTGCATTGTGTGAGTAACTCATTTAAGAATCATCCTTAAAATGTTCTCTTTGCACCTCTCTCTGTCCCTTCTCTCAATATTTATTCTTCTCGTTTTCACTCACAGGTGATAAATATGGAAATGTAATTCATCTGTATGAGAGGGATTGCTCTATCCAGAGGAGACATCAGAAAGTGGTAGAGATCGCTCCTGCTGCCCAGCTTGACTCTCACCTCAGAGACAGACTGACCTCAGACGCGGTCAACCTGGCAAAACAGGTACAGTACTGAAATCAAATGACTGACATTCATTATACAACCTCTGTGACCACAGCTTTCACACATACTGTAAATTTATCTTAGCAACATATTGGCATGCCCTTCAAGAACTTTCCTCTATGTGGTGTGAGTCAATCAACTCAAGGTTATACCTTCTCTTATTTCATTATCCTTGCTCACACGCTCACACACACACACCATCAAGGGATGTCCACCAAGGCACAGATTTCTCTCAACTACAGTGTTGTATGTGTGTAGTGAATGATTAACATATGGTGCTAGTTCTCAGTGCTGCTCTGTCAAAAGAATCTGTCACAGATGAAGGTAGGTTTTATTTATTGATGTGTTTAGCAGAGGCTGATAAATGGAGATTAAACCAATCAATGAGTTATTGGTAGTAAAGTTTCAGGATTGTCTGTCATTATGGAGATATGTGTTGCACTGCCAGTGCCTACATCATTTTTCTTTCACCTTCTCTCTTTATCTCTTACAATATTTTACCTCTTTTTCATCTGTTGATGATTAGTAACAAATTCAGTATTTTGACAGCTACATCTGTGCGATTGACAGTGTACAAGTCTGATGGCACATTGTAAATCTGTCATTTTGCTTGGTAAATCTTCAATTGAATTAAAATTATTTTAAGTAATTTAAAGGGGTGATGAACTGAGAAATCAAATTTTCCTTGAGCTTTTGGCATCTAAAAGATCATCATATTATACAAATATCCTGTAAGTTTCAGAACTGAAAACGTCCTCGTTAGTCCAATAAAAACTTTTATTGACACCAGCCCCAGCAAACGACTCGTTTTTCAAAGTGGGGAACTATGACATCAAAGAGGATAAACGCCTACTTCAAAACGGCCGGTTTAGCCCCGCCCACTGATTCGCGCATTACACGCTTAGCTAAAGAACATAGATTCCTACCTCGTAATGACAAACCAGATCGAGCTACCGAGCGTTACAAAATATTGTGCAGTGCCTGGTTGTGGAAGACGGTCGCTGCATAAGCTTCCTCTGGATTCCAATTGGACTGCATGGATAAACTTTATTTTTAATGACGTTCCAGCTGATGAGGTAAAACATTGTCCGTCTGTTCGCTTCATTTCACTGAGGATTGTTTTGTAAACAAGACTGGATTTGCAGACCGATTAAGAGTAAAGAACGGTGCTGTGCCGTCTATATTGGACCTGACAGGAATTGTGCAACACACGGACTCTGGGTCGAATCATTCCGGTTGCCATTTTACAACATTGGACGTTTTCAAAACAATTTCCCCCAAGTGGATTGACAGGTGAGTTGAAAATCATTATAATATGCAAAACTGTTATCCACTCACAGCAGTGGGCGTTTACTTCCAAGTCTTCAATGCGAGACGCAAAAACCGAGTGTTTTTCTGTTTTTGAATGCAAAAACCAAGCGAACGTCATAAGTTGACCTCAGACAACAATATAATAAAACTTAAAAAGCCAGTTCATGACCCCTTTAATTATGGTCTGAGACTTTTGGTCCTCTCTGAGGAAAAAAATTACAAACTATATGAGAAAACAATTGTCAATAATAAATAGATATATTTAGAATGATAATAGAAATAAATGGATGACCAAAACGACATTTTTGTTGAACACAGATGTAACAATGCAGAATGCATTGCGAAAGTGCGACATAATAAGCAACATAACACCACATTACTTTTGAGATGGCGTGGATGAAAATAAGAAGAATGACAGAGCTAAGCACGATGTAGAGATATTTTGGCTAATGCAATTAGATCACACAATTAGTTGAGTGTTTTGATGTCAGAATGTTTCAATGGAAAATCAGTAGACAGAATGCAAAAAATAAAATAAATAAATAAATAAATAAAGAGGAGAGGGAAACCCTCCTGGTGCATGCTGGGAAAGTGTAGAGATTAATCTGTGCTGACCTGCCTGATCTGTTAAAACTGAGTACACGCTTGTGCGCGCGCACACACACACACACATACACACACACACACACACACACACACACACATACACATACATCTGGTTCGCTATCTTTGTCAGGACTCTCCATAGACATAATGGTTTTTATACTGTACAAACTGTATATTCTATCCCCTTAAACTTACACTACGCATAAACCTACCCATCACAGACAACTTTCTTTTTCAAAAAAACTAATTCTCTATTATTTAGAAGCTTGTTTCATCATGGGGACCTCAATTTAGGTCCCGACGGTGACATAAGTCCCCATGAGTCAGTGTGCATTCACACACAAACACACACACACACACTTTTTTAGATATCTCCTCTGACCTTAGAGTTATTAACAGAAGGATTACGGATTTGGAGAGATAGACTCGCCACCCAGTGATTACAAGGTGTGTACGTGAGCACCAATTCCCATCTGTTGATAAACCACATGCTGTCAGTTTTGATAAGTCACTTGCCCCTGTAGGAGTCAAATTTGTATGTTTTTGAAATGATATTAGTGATGCTGGCAGTAGCTGAGAAAAGGTGAAGAGAGAGGGGGAAAGAGCGACCATCCAGGCAAGAGAGAGAGAGAGAGAGAGAGAGATGACAAATAAAGATGGAGAGAGAGGATAAATCAATATTGTGCAGGTGCAGCAGACAGGATAGGTTTATTGTTCTATTTTTTGGCTTGATGAAACTTGGCAAGCTGTTGCTTGTTCTCAGTCCCTATCATTTTATTGTACAATTTGTAATGTAGGTACATTTACAACAGGTGGCAGTATTTCATTCACACTGATTTCAGGCCTTTTTCGGGCCCACTCTCAAGTGTTCGTCTGGATTGTTTTGAAAACTGAAAATTTGTCCACCTTAAATGACCCAGTATAATTACTTTTTGTACTTGTATTCCTTAAAGTAAGCAAGTTCTCATTTATACAGCGAGCTAACAACACAAGCTAATTAAATGTGTAGTGCGACTGCTGAGAGCTTTCACAATTAAGATTTCACTGTTTTCATTCATTATCTTCACAAGGTTATATGCCTGTATTAACCTCTGATTGTTTCAAATTATAAATCCAGTTTTTGTCTCTATTGTTCTCAGATTAGAGTATAAGTATTCTGTGCTTGTATTTTAACATCTTTGGAGTTATACCAACACTTGATTGTGTATGTTTGGCAAGTGTAATAGCCTACTGTGCTCCTACAGAGGATACAGAGGTGTGGGCTTAATTGGATGGTCACATGATCGCTGGTGTGAAAGCAAATACTTTTGATAGTGGCACCGCTGGATAGAAAAAAAAAAGAGAAAACAAATCAGTCTTGGAGACAGGTGAGACTCTGGAAGCATAGGTGAGACAAAATTGAAAAAAAAAATAAACTAAAATAGTAAACAGGTTTTGTTGCTGGTTCATAAGAACTATAGGCACATATGACAGCTTTGGAATGTGACTGATGGATATTTGTGAGCCTCAGTTTCTTCCCGCAAGTCTTATTCTAACAATGGCCATGTTTTAGACTTTGGTTGGGCATGAGAGATTATATGCAGTTGTTTGTTTTGTACATCTTTGCCTTTTCTGTTTTTCTGTGTTCTCGTTTATGTATAGTGACCAATTAAGCTGCGTTCAGATCCTAAAACCTAAAGACTGCTTTAGCTTTTCATCCTCACACCCATGAAATACAGAGAAACAAAACTGTCCAATTGCAGTGATGGATCACCACAAAATGAATATTCTGTTATCGTTTAGTCCCCCCCCCCATGTTGATTCAACCCTGTATGACTTTCTTCTGTAGAAAGATATTTTGAAGAATGATCAAACCACACTGTACCCCATCGACTTTTATTGCATTTAAAACAGACATTTTTCAAAATTTCTTCTCTGAGCATTTTAAGTAAGAGCAGCCAAAGACGGGTTTAGACCACAGTTATTGTATTCTAAAAATGTTTAAATATTGGGTGATAAATCAGTCTGCTGATAGTCCTGTGCCAGTATTTACACACCTGTGCCGAGAGGTTTGTTGGTCCCACATCGCTTTGATGTTTTCAGGAATTCCTGTTTCTGGATGGAATAATCCACTAAGACAAGGTTGAACTCATGACCCTGGATTTAGGTAGCGCCCCCATTATTTCAAAATCTCTATTGTTGGCAGTCTTAGTAGTTTTTTTTTTTACTCTTAAAACCCCACAACTATTGCACTTGGCTTGCCAGTAGAATTGATCTGTAGAGCTCTAGTAAAGCTCTCTAGCTCCATTACAGTCTCTGTTTTGGATTTTAGCCCAACCAGCCGCTTGCTTTATTCTACTGGCTTTCATGACATGAAATATAGGCCATTTATGATAATTAGGTACTAATTTGATAATTAATTATACTCGCCCTCTTGGTCGGTTTCCATTGCTGAGAGTGCTGGTTGAGCATTAGTGTGGTTTTTTTTTTGTCTGTTGAAAAAGCTTTACTTTAAATTCACTGTTTTATCTATTACTGAGCCAGTAAGGAGGGTCTGATCCTAATAGGAATAGCACGACATGCTGAGGTCCTCCTCAGTCTACGCCGTTCCCTCGGCTCTTTCTCTCCTGTATAATCATTAGCCCTCACCTGAGTAGCCTCGCAAGCTCTTGGACCTTGACAAGTTGGTTGGTGTCCTGGGGGTCTTGCAGGCTAAAGACATGCTGTTTTAGACATGACCGAGAATGGATGTCTGACACGTTTTCTGTCGGCTGGCAAAAGGAAAGACATGTATTAGGCCTAAATAATCCCTCCATTGTTACTCACCAGACTGAGATGTCTGTAGCAATCAACTAGCCAGAGGAAGCACTGGATCTTTTCCCAAAGGACTGGCTGACAAATCCATATATTTTATTTATTTAGATATTTTATATACGGGCGTTAAGAAAATGTTTGTCAGAGAAGTTTTTTTATGTTCACCAAGGCTGCATTTATTTGATCAATTGAGTAAAAATGAAACATTGTGAAATATAATTAAGTTAATTAAAATAACTATTTACAATTTGAATGTATTTTAAAAAGTGATTTATTCACTAAAGCTTAAT